AAAAAAAAAAAAAAGGAAACTGCTAAAATGGAGAAAAAAAAAAAACTTTATTGTAAAAAACGGTGACCAGACAGATTTACTAAGCCATGACCTGGATAATTGAAAGTAGAAAAGAACAATAAATTTTCATTTGTAAACACAGTTGCAAAAATCCTCAGTAAAATAAGAGCAAATAAAACTTAGGCTTTTTCAAAATATCATACAACTGATTATCCCAAGAGTACAGCTTTAGAAAACACGTTTATGCAGACTACTTCATTAAGAGATTAAAGTAGAAAAAATTGTGAAAATCGAGTTCCCATTCATTATAAAAACTCATTCACTATAAAAACCATGTGGGTCACCTCCCAGCTGGGGATCAAACTGGAGCTGAAGTGGCTGGGACTGGCTTTGTAGTGCTGTGCTTTTAACCTGATGCACCACCAGGGAGGGCCCATAAAAACTTTTTTTTTTTTTTAAGATTTATTGATTTATGCATAGAAGAACTGGGTACAGGGCAGAGGTGCGGGGTGGGGGTGAGAGGATTCACCAGAGACAGAGTGGGGAGCAGAACAGGCAGATATACTGAAACACACTGCTGAGAGGAGCAGCAGATGAGACAGGCGAGGTCTGCTGGACCATATGGGTCAGCTCCCTGGCCCAGGCTTTGACATAGACTGAAATTGTAGCTGCTTTCATATGCTTTTGAGAAAAATAAGTCCAAACTAGTCAGCATCCTGTTTGGACCAAACTTACATGTACCCTGAGTCAAATCTTATCCCCACGTCTGAGCCAAATATCTGTCAGATGTGACCCTGATACCTACCCTGACCTGCATGCAAGCAAGATCATGTGACAGATAAAAATAACTCCCTCTCCGCCTATGGCAGCATCTGAGAAAGAGCAAGATGAAAATTGGACTCTGGGTTGGGAAAAACTGTAGAAAAGTAAAATGGTACAGTGAACTCTGTCTTGAAGAGTCTTTCTCTTTATCAACATTATAACTTTGAAGAACTAAAATTCCCTTACAAAAGAGGAGCTGCCTCTAAAAAGTTGCTAAATCTCAATTTTAAATACTGGTAAATGTAGGAATATTTTTCTTTTTGTCATTGAATAATTGGTAGGGTCACCTTAGAACTCTCCCTAACTTAAACCCCCTAAGTTTGTGTTGAGGTCTAAGAGATAGTTAAAATTGTTGTTAGTTTCTGCAACTTAAAAATTTATTAACAGTGAACATAAATGCTACTGAAATTTATACATGTAGCAGATGCATTTGATTCACAGTAGACTTTATTAGAATACATATATTTAATTTAAAAAATGCTTTTATATTTTTTCCAACCCCCCTCTGACTCAACATAATCATACATAGGTGTTGGCATTGAATCCTTAAGTTACTATTATTAAACAAATGTTTTAAATAGATTGAATTATCATGACTTTAATTTGTAGCCTGAAAATTTGGAGATCATCTCCTTTCCTGAACTTTAAGGGGAAAAAAGTTAACAGTAACTGTTAAAGAGAACTCTTTCGCCACTTTGCAGATGAGAAAGGTGAATGATGGCCTCTATAAATCTACTGACCAACCTCCCTGAAAGCCTGACAGCTCTCTTCCAGTCCCTGTCAGTTGAGATGAAGAGACACAGTGACATGTCTTAGGGGAGGGCCTTAGTGTCTTCAGGCTGCCTGGATCAGAGTATGGACTTATCATTCCAGCCCAGTCTAGTTTGTTTTAGCCAGCTGTAGATGTAATTATTTCTAAAAATGTAGAGGGCCTCCTTGGTGGTGCAGGGGTTAAGTCTTAGCTGAGCTATCACTGAGTTCCATCCAGCCAGGGACCACAAGGTGGGTGCTGCAGACCTCTCCTGTCCCACCCACTGCTCCCCTTAGCAGTGTATTTCAGTAGATCCACCTGTTATGCTTCCCACTCTGTCTCTGGTGAATCCTCTCACTCCTGCACCTCTGGCCTACACTCCAGTTCTTTTATGCAAAAAATAAATAAAATCTGTTTAAAAAATAAAAATGTAGAGAAGCAATTTAAATAAGAAAAGGTAAACACTTCCATTTAAGTAAACCAAAAGCCACTGGGATAGAGGAAGAATAGGGCAAGAAAACAGCATGTTGGCGAGAGAAGGAAGAGAATTCCTTGACAGTAATTAGCAAATATTAATTTCAAAAGACGGCCCACCCAGGAATTAGGCCTTTAAATTGGCTTCTATTGTTTTTATTATTAAATATCTCTTAAGAATTTTAGAGTACTTAGTATTTAGTTCATTCTTTGTAAACTTACTGATTATCTACTGTGTTTAGAAAGTATTATTACTGTAATTTTTTTTAAAGATTTATTTATTTATGCACACAGAACTGAGGTACAGGCCAGAGTTGCAGGGGCGGTGAGAGGATTCACCAGAGACAGAGTGGGGAGCAGAACAGGCCGACTGACAAAGTACACTGCTGAGGGAAGCAGCAGGCAGGTCGAGAGAGGTCTTTCACGCCATGTGGGTCACCTCCAGGGCAGGGATCGAGCTCATGCTGAAGTGGCTTTTAGCTTCTTAATGCTGTGCTTTAACCTGCTGCGCCACCAGGGAGGGCCCCCATATTGCTGTGATTTTAATTCATTGTCATTATACAAATAACAAGATAGCAGTAATAGAAAACAAGTTATAGCTTTCCAAAGGTTCACCTTCCCCTTGTCTGTCATCCCTCCTGCTTTTAGGCAAGACAGCTATAAGAAGCAAAAGCTAAAAAAGACATACCCTACTCAAAAGCAAAGTGGGTACTGCCGTCGGCAGAAACAGCAGATATCAGGGCAGCAAGGGAACGCTACAGCCTGTCTGACCGTGGGTGGCTGGCGATTGGACCTGGAGTGAGGGGGGAGAACCTGGAGTGCACATTAAGAGAAGGAGCCAAGCCACCCTCTGACTCTGGTGGAAGCTTAGAACAGAAAATCAAGTGTGGAAGTTTTCACAAAGTCAAAAACCAGAGGTGGAGGTAGGGACGACGATTAAGGAGTCAAGTCATTAAGCCAACTATGAAAGTTTCCAGGAATCTGAGGTGGATCAGATGGGATTATCTGTTACAGGGAAAAAACCAACCTGACCCAAAAGCAATAAAATTTCACAAAGGAATGAATTCTCCCCCCCCCCCCCAAGAGTATCTCTTGCTTTGGTAAAACACAGATCTTGTCCTGAGACTGTCCACCCACCTTTATGTAGATGTCTCTTTCTTAAACCCGCTCTTCTCAAAATACAGCTCTTTGTGTGCTTATGCAGGTGTCTCCTTTTCCTCATAAACCTTTAAAATGCAATTTGCTGTTTGTACCTATACAAATGTCTTTTTCTTTAATACTAACTTGCCATGTGCTGCTGAATAGGAGTGCCTGCTGAAATCATTCTCAGAGGGACCCCACTCACCCCCAGCAACTTCACAACTCTAGCTGTAGTATCACCTTGCAGCTGGAACCCTAAACAATCACTTTAAGACCTGGCTCTGGAGAACCTGGTGAAAGCGGCCTCAAAGTATCTTTGCTGTGACTTCACAGCTTTCATTGCCTTCCTCTATTTGGCCAGCTGTGCAGTGGGGAGGAAGTCAGGGAGGAGAAGAGAGGAATGCTCCTTCTCAGAGCACACCTGCCTTTGGTCTGTGACACATGGAAAACACCAGTGTGGCCTCCTCAGACCGGAAGCCTCAACTGTGTCCTCTTGTTTTTCATTTCTATTTTGCAAGCTACTTCAAAAAAGTTAAGATTGAGACCAGCAATATAAACCAATATCTTAATTTTCCTTTTTTATTTTTCAGGCTGGAGTAAAAGGAACATTGGGGAGATTAGTTGGAATTTTTGAGGTAAGTCAGACTTTTTGAGTTAAAATCTTTGATGCAATTTATAAACTAATAATCCTACATACACATCTTTGCCTTTGTTATTCAGGCTACTGTAACAAAACGACTTAGCTAGGTGGCTTGCAGATAATAGAAACAGGTTTTTCAGTTCTGGAGCTTCAGAGTCCAGGATCAAGGCACCAACAGAATCAGAGTCTAGTGCTTACCCACTTCCTGGTTCATAACTGTTTCTCTCTTTCTCACACAGAAGGTAGAAGAAAGAAAGTTGCCCTATATTATAAGAACAGTAATTCTTCTCTAAGGTTCTACTTTCAAATCCTCATCACTTCCCAAAGCTCCCACCTCCTTATACCAACATATTGGGAGTTAGGATATCAATATATTCAGCTTGGGGGGACATAACCATTCTTTCCATTGTAATTTCGATCTAGAAAAGATATCATCTTTGTTCCACCAAGTTTTTAAAGCAAAGCAACAACAGCAAAGGAGCTATTTTTTAAAATCCTAAGTCTCCTCCAAACTGGCAGTATTTGTAATTTCCATCCCTACCTCTTTCATGCTTCCTTTCCGCCCCAAGATGTAAGGAGGATAGATTAGGGTGCAGAAGACAGAAGGAAAATATAAGTAGCAAAGGAGGGAGAAACAAAAGAATAGACTGATGTAGAGATTTGGAGAAAGATAGAAGAAAATGAGAAATCAGGGATAAAGATAAACAGGGTTAGAGGTGCCTCCCTGTTGTCTCAGTGCTGTCACACTGTCGCCAGCCACTGCAGCATGAGTTTGATCCTGGCCAGGCGCTGACCCCCAGGGTGAGGCAGACCTCTCCCCTCTCACCCGCTGCGCCCCTCAGTGGTGTATTTCAGTCAGTCTTCTGTTCTGCTCCCCCCTCTGTCTCTGGTGAATCCTCTCACCCCCTCGCCTCCCACGTCTAGCCCAGAATCCAGTTCTTATATGCATAAATAAATAAAATGAAATCTAAAAAATAAAAGAGGTAAACTGGGTTAGTTTGTAAAGGGGAGCAGTACTAAATTAACCACTTGCTTCCATTAACAGAGTCTCGCCTTTCTCTCTCTTTTCTTTCTGATATTCTAGCTAAATTTACTTGGTGCCTTTTGAGAGGTCATGAACTTCCCTTTCATAGCATTCTTATAAAGTTAGGCTTAAGGGAAGAGGAACAAAAAAAGAAAGTAACTCTTTGGCTTCGGAAGCCCAACCAGACAGCATACCCTCAAATTCAAGTACATATATAAACCATCCAGCTCTATTCCATCTAGATTATAGCATGATAAAAAAATAAGGAATCCTTACATCTAAGCTCTCTGGACATGTACATAATAAGGGTGTTTCTTTTAAGTAATCTTAGCTCTCTAAGGAAAAACCTCTCTATCCTCCTGTCTTTACCCTTCAGAACCAGGAGAGGAAGCACAGAACATATGTGTATGTGCTCATTGTCACAGAAGTGCTGGAAGACTGGGAAGACTCAGTTAACATTGGTAAGTCACCCCCAGATAGCCTCCAAAGAGCTCCCCACTACTGACCCTTGCAGTCACAAGGGTCCTCACCCAGAACCAGAATGATAAGCAGTATTAGGATATGTTTAATAAAAGGAACATGTCCATACTTGAAAGGTTTAAAAGGAAGCTGAAGTTGGATACATGGTGGTCAGCAAGCCCAACTTCATCATGGGCCATAACAAGAAGAGTTGTTTTTCAAGTCAAATCCGACCCTCGCCCACAGACCCTGGCCTCTGCAGTGCCAGGTGAGAGCAGGGCCTCGGCTGCTCCTTGCGAAGCTGCCTCGCCTGCTGAAAAGCTCCATCTGCTTGTGGCACCAGCCCCTCCCCACAAGGTGTGGGAGCACTTTGTTCCGGAGCCTTCAGCTTTCTCCCAAGGAGCCGTTTTCTTTGCACAGGTCACTTTCTTGTGTATGTCTTTTGAAGTAAAAACTGAGAGGTTGGTTCCTGGTTTAATCTTTTACCTGGAAGAGGAATTTTTTTTTTTTTAAATACAAGACTACTTTGTTTTAATTGGTACACAGATAAAATTCACTTACCCAAACATCTCTCTCTAAATTGTTAGTGTGTACTTTGCCACCAGGCCCTCACGCTATTGATCTGAGCATTTCAGAGATCTCAGCTTTCTTTAATGGGTTTGTATCTGGTAAGAACACCATATGCTTAAGTAAATAGGATTAGTGGGGGGTTTTTACCAATTGGCAGCCCGTGCTGGGGCGTGAAAGAAGTGAGCTGAGTGTGGGATGGCCTGGCACAGAGCAGACTGTCGAAGGGAGATACTAAGTTTTCAGCTACCATTGCTCTTTTAGCATCTAAACGAGGCTTTTACCTTGTTCTCCCACTTCTAAGAATTGATACCTATGAAATAACCTAAAATATGGGGAGTAAACTGTGAGCCTTCCTTCAAGTGAGCTTTTTTTCACATGAGAAATTGGGTCTAAATGTGTCTACAGTTCAAGTGGCTGGTAAGTGACATAAGGCACATTAGTCTGTGAGAATGTTATGTAGCTGTTAGCCACATACTGCAGATTCCATGGGAAGGTGATTAGGAAATGGTCTTAGTGAGGGTATAAAATCCTATCTACACTAATTAGAGCTACATTAAAATACAAATGTGAAATAAAAACAAAAAAGTAGTATTGTTTTCCACCTGAAGTACTGGCAGTAATAAAGAAAATGTAGCAGCAGGGGCAGGGATGTGGCAAGATGAACGCTCCTGTACACACGCAGACTAAGCACCGGCATCGCTGTGGGGCTTCCTGGAAAGCAGTTCAAGCCCTTCAGAGTTCAAAGGTTTTATTCTTTTTTTTTTTTTTAAAGATTCATTTATTTATGCAAACAGAGCAGGGGTACAGGCCAGAGGTGCAGGGGTGAGAAGATTCACCAGAGACAGAGTGGGGAGCAGAACAGGCAGATCAATGAAATACACTGCTGAGGGGAGCAGCAGGTGGGTCAGGAGAGGTCATGTCACCTCCCTGGCCAGGGATCAGACTCATGCTGCAGTGGCTGCGTTAGCATCATAGTGCTGTGCTTTAACCTTTGCGCCACCAGGGAGGGTCCCTCAGATGTTTTACTCTTACAACCTCTGTTCCTAGGATCTTTCTGTGAAAGTTCAAACAAATTTTTTTAATCGTAGCATTATTCATTATAACTAAAATTATAGATTGTTGATAACCAATGGTAAGAAATGGTTAAATGAATGACAGCATATCAGTGCTAAATCGAGGATGCAATGCAGGCTGTTAAATAACATTTTTTAAAGATTTTTTTTTACTTATTTATGCATACAGAACTGGGGGTACAAGCCAGAGGTACAGGGGCAGTGAGAGAATTCACCAGAGACAGAGTGGGGAGCAGAACAGGCCGACTGAGAAGTACACTGCCGAGTGGAGCAGCAGGCAGGTCAGGAGAGGTCTGCCACGCCATGTGGTCACCTCCAGGTCATGGGATCAAACTCGTACTGAAGTGGCTACGGCCAGCTTCCCAATGCTGCACTCCAACCCACTGCGCTACCAAGGGGATGCCTAAATACAGTATTTTTAATGACATGAGAGCATACATGAGAAGCCAGGTGGAGGACCTCCTTGGTGGCGCAGCTATTAGATCTCAGCACTGTCAAGCTACTGCCAGACACTGCTGCAAGGATTCAATCCTTTGCCAAGCAGCCGACCCACATGTCTCACCCACTACTCCCCTCAGCAGTGCATTTCAGTAGCTCCACCTATTCTGTTCCCCACTCTGTCTCTAGTGAATCCTCGCACCCACACTTCTGGCCTATCCCCCAGTTCTTGTATGCACAGGTAAATAAAAAATCAATCTTTTTTTTTTTTTTAAAGGAACCATGTGAAGGAGAAAAGCAATAATAATAATAATAAATTTAACTCTTACAGCGGGGACTTTACGCATTAATTCTCCGACTTGTGAGATTGATACTTACATCTATTTTATAAATGGGGAAAGCGGAACACAGAGAGGTTCAGTAACTTGGTCAAAGCTGTGAACAGTGATGTAATTGGAGCCAGCTTCAGAGTCCATTTTCCAAGACACAGTACTCTGTATGAATCTCTTGGGAAGCCATGATCCCAATTACAACTGTACAAATACAGTGTCATTTTCAATTGTGTATAAAAGAAGAGCAAAAGAATTAAGATATCAAGAACGGTCATTTCTGGTTTATAAGATTATGAGTAATTATGGTATTCTTTATTAATTTCATCATTTTACCAGTTTTTAAGCAATGATCTTTCATTTTATGAATGAAAAAAATCAAAAAGGATTTTAAAACATTCCTTTGGAAAAAAATAAAGTAGATTGAAAAGTTACTAATGGGGCCTCCCTGGTGGTGCAGGGCTTAAAGTCTCAGTGCTGTCAAGCTATTGCCAGCCACTGCAGCCTGAGTTCAGTCCCCAGCCAGGGAGCTGATCTATATGTATGGGGCTGCAGACCTCTCCTGACTCGCCTGCTGCTCCCCTCAGCAGTGTGTTTCAGTCAGTTTGCCTGTTCTGTTCCCCATTCTGTCACTGGTGAATCCTCTCAACCTTCTCTGCCCATCACCCCACCCCTCCACCCCTGCACCTCTGGCCAGACCCCAGCTCTTGCATACATAAAAAAAAAAAAAGAAAAGTTGAGAGAATATAACAAAAATAATGAACAACCATATACCAGAGACATTTTGTGGGGGTGGAGTGGGGAATGGGATCAAAAACGGGGGGGTGGGGAGGGAAGTGCACGGGATTATGGTGATGGCACACGGGTGACTTGGTGATGGGAAACCCACGGGGTTTGAGATGGAAAAATGAAATGTACAAAATGATGTAAAAATAAACTTTTGTAAAAAAAAAAATAAAATAACACATAAGAAAATTTTTTTAAAAAGTTAATGATTTTGTTTTTCTCTTTAAACATTTTACGTCTTGTGGATATGTTATTCTTATAAACAAATTCTTTTAAATAAATAGATGGTTATAAGCCAGCTCTCCAGCTGATTCTGGACGCTAATGTTCACACTGACTTTTGGAGGAGATGGGGACCCTGGCAGGGCTCCGGGTGCTTGCATGCAGGCTGAGGAGGCCTGGGAACATAGTCAGAAGCCACCAGCAATGGCTGTTTTTCAAGGGGAGAATTTCACACAATAATGATTGGCTCTTTAGTTTCGAGATTTCTTCTATTGTCTTCATTAGGCAATTTTATGATATTTTTCTGTGCTTATATTACTTTTGTAAAAATAGAAAAGGAGAAATGTGACATGGTAAGATACATCTGAAGAGGTATGAAACTTTATCTCTGACTCACACAGTGTTGAAAACCAGTGTTACCTCAATGAAGAAAAAAGAAAGAAGAGGGACAATACATTTGTAATTCTGTATTTTAAGTGTTGATAGCCAAGGCTTTCCTGTTTTCTGCATTTTCTCATTGCTTCCCTTTTTTACTCATTTCTGTTTTCTCCCCCCACAGGAAGGAAGCGTGAATGGTTTAAAGTAGAAGATGCCATAAAAGTGCTGCAGTGTCACAAGCCTGTGCAGGCGTCATATTTCGAAACGTTGAGGCAAGGCTACTCGGCCAACAACGGCACCCCCGTCGTGACCACCACGTACGCGGTTTCCTCTCAGACCCCCATGTCGGGCATCAGATGACTGGAGACTCCGTGAGAGGAATGGAAATTGGAGACTAGACTGAAGTGCAGAGCTCCCCTCCCACCCCGCTCTCTCACATCCCCTCACAGGCCCCCTCTTTTCCAGTAAGGCATGATGGGCAGCAAAGAAAGGGTTTATTGATAATGTAACTGTTCGGTGTTAAGTGATGGGGCTTTTTCTTCTCTTTCATTGAGGGGGTGGGGTCGGGCGTGTAATTTGTAACTACTTCGTGCATGATCTGTCCCTCCCTTTTGCAACCCTCCAGTTCTTTAAAGAGAGGCGGACCGCCTTCCTTCTACCTTGGATTCTGAAATGCTCCTGTTTGTCTCATCCCAACCCTGGCCAGACACTTTTCTTTGATTTTTATTGTTATTATTTTTTAATTAAAAGATAAGATGAGATGAAACTTTCAGGAATTTGTCCTGTAATGTGCTGTTGAGTAGGTTGTTCACCCTCACTGCAGGATGCATTTATCTACACATTATATACTGTGCATATAATATGTAAATAAATGACTTTTAGAGTAAGAATTTAATTTTAATTTTTCAAGATTCTGTTTTGTTTTTTGCATTTGGGCTGTTTCTGAAATGGAGAACCTCGCAATTAATTTGCTTTTTGTCTTTCACACTAGTTGCTAGGCAAGTTTACCCTTGTCCTCTTTCTTTTCCGCAACCCTCAATTGCAGTAATGTAGGATGTGGGAAGAGTTTCACTACCTTCATAGTGCTCCCAGGACTCGTGGCCTTCTTGTGAAGCTGTGCTTTCATGCCAAGAAAGAAATGGGAAGAAACTTTTTTTTTTTTAACTACAGACCAGGAGCAAATGGCCTCAGCCCAGATCTGGAAAAACAGTGATAAAAATTGAATTCCTCCTACATGTTGACAGTAGGGATTTGAACTGGATTCTTGGGATAACTATCTAAAAAACTGGAGCATCGAGCACCGTTTCTATCCTACTGGTTTGGAATTTTTCCACAATGCTATTTATCGCCAACAACAGCCTCTCTCCTTGTGCGTCCACGCCTCACACCGTGCTGAACTGGATATTGTCCTTGTGCTCTGAAGCATCCAAGTGTACTTGGCAAAAGCAGCTGTACAGCCCTGAGTTCCTGAAAAGTGCACAGGAGGAAAATTCAGGTGTTTGCTTGTCTTTGTAATATTATAGCATTTGCAACTGCGCCGTGGAGCATGCTCAGAAATATTTAATTTGTCTGCCCCTGGGAAGTGAAAGATCCATCTATCCTCTGCTAAGTGGTGTGAGAGAATGCTTAGTCATTTACTAGAACAGCTACATAATGCACTGGCTCGCTGCAAAATGTCTTAATGGTTTTGGTAGAGACTTCATTTGCCAGTTGTGGTGTTTAGTTGGGAAATAAGCAGAAAAGGGTCTTGAGATGCGGCGAGGCCACTGAGAGGGGACCCCTGATGCTACCCTGGCTGCAACGGGCGTTCGTGGCTCTCCTCTTAGTGGCACCTCCGTTGTCTAAGCATAGCCAAGATGTGGCATTAAAATCTTTTATTTAAAAACGCCAATAAATACTCAAACTTTGAAAAGCATCTGCTCTTCCCTCCCACTAAGAGAAACGTGTACATCTGGTAGGCTTGTGGCATTATAGAGTTCGGCATTTTGGGGACATCAGGTGGTGGTGAGCCTTAAATTTTGCTAAAGGCAGTCCCGATTTGCATCCAGTCTCCCGGTCTTGAAAAACAGTCAGAAAGTAGCACTGGCGGCTTCCTTGGGATCCCGTCCCGCCTCACTCGGGAAAGTGATAGCAGCACCATGCTGGGGGTTAAGGCTCATGTCCACTCCTATTCAGGTCCTACTAAGAAGACAACACACTGCTGCTCGTTGCCTGGTTTAGGGCATTCTGAGTTTCTGTTCAAATAAATAAAGAGGAAAATAAAATAAATGAAGTAAATGCTAAGTGGAATCTCTAAATTACGTTCTTCCAGATCAGTTCTGCCTTTATTATATGGGATAAAAGTGCTTTGCGGGAGAACAGTCCGCCCTCCTGGAAAAGGAGCCACAGTGTTAGTAGTAATAACACACAGTGTTAGTAGTGCATTTTTTATGATCTGAAGATGTTTTTACTGGACTGATACAACAGCACACTACCCTAAAAAATCCAATTTGGGTTGTTGTTGGTGTCATTGGGTCAGAAAAGTGAAGTGTGCCAAGATGTATTTTTTAGTGACATGAATGGATGCTATTTAATGCAGTTAACTGAAGAGTGCTAATGCCTTCTTAACTGACAAAAGGGGTTTTTGTCCAACACCAGAATTGTTGCAACTGGTGCTATTTTCTTTGCAGAGATTCTGATGAGCAGGGGCTGGTGTTTTTCCCTTCCTGGCACCAAAAACACCGGGGCTGTCTGTGCGGCTGCCTGTGTAGTCACAGTGCTTTTGTGATAGTTAGACCCGTGGTTGTAGTAACCTTGATCTCTCCCCTAAAAAAAGCAAGGAGAAACTAGAGAGAAAGCACAAAATTATCCTATTTACAGAATATTTCGTTGACACCAACTGGCCCCTTTATCCTGCTGGTTTACTGTACTGAGCTGCTGTGTTCAGAGCAGACGGAAGCGCCCTGCACACAGTGACATTGAGCTGGTTAATAGAGGCCGCTATACTGTGTGTAGAGAAAGGTCTCACCAGGTAGTTTTTAGTTAAAAATTGTTTTTAGTTTATAAATTGAACTATTGCTGCAAACGCTTGCAACCTTTTTGGACCAGGACTACTTTCTCTCCCCCCTCCCAGCCTGTGTGTGTGTGTGTGCGTGCGCGCGTGCGTGTGCGTGCGTGTACGTGCGTGTAAATGTACGTAAGATAGAAGAGCTACCACGAGTCAGTATGCTACATTTCTTCGTAGCCTCCCAGAATAGTGCAGTCCACAAGACAGGAGTCTGGATTTTCCTGACAGCAAACAGGATGTAAAAGTGAACGAGTTGACTGTTTTGTTTTTACAAGTGTCTGCTGCCCCCTCTGCCCCGCATGGCGTGCACTCCCTCACTGCTGCGTCTGAGCTGAGGCCATCTGGAGGGATCAAAGAGCATGGGTGTCAAAGAGTATCACCCCCTCTGAGACCCAGGAAGGCCTAGAAGGAGGTGTCGCTGCAGGATTTCCGCCTCCGCGGCCCAGGGTGCCGTGCTGTGGCGCAGCGGCTGTAGGCCACGCTGCCCCGAGGCGAGGGGGAGTCCAGAGGTCACTGCCCCTGGGCTGTTTCGCGGCTGTGTGGTGTGTTGCTACATAGCCAAGTTCCTTCATCGCAAAGAAGCTTTTCTGTTTTGATGTTAGGAGCTTCTTAGACTTGCTTAGAAGAACTGTTCTACATCCCGTCCTTCCCGTGTCTCCTCGCCACCTCAGTGTGCATCGGAAGCTCCTGCTAAGCCCGCAGTCAGTCTTGTTGGACCCGGCGTGTGTATTACACCTTGTCCTTTCACATGTGTTATGTCCATCTCGTGCTATAGTAACGCCCTTGGAGGCCTCACCAGGTGTTTTTTCAAGAACAGTTTAATCCAAGACACATTCAGTTTTTCAGTTCACCAAGAGTTTTATAACCACAGTTAAAGTTTTGCCACAGTTGCGTGATTTTTAATATTTCTGAAGTGTCCTCTAAGCCCATTCTAGTTGAAAATAGATTTAGAATTAGAAGAAATCCTGGGAGAAGTCTCTGCTGTGTGAGGTGAATTTGGCTTTTAAGAAAATGAGGGTTTGCTGTACTTAATGATGTAGCTTCTCCCTGTCTCACCTGCATTGAAAAAATAATGTCTTTATTAAAAAAAAAATGGAAGACCTGCAGGCCAGTTAACTCAAGCAGCTCTAGGGAGGGGAAGCTTATTTGATGGTGATTAGAACAAAAGCAAATCACTCTTTTAATTCTTATTCTTGAAGACTCTGAAAGAGACTTCGGTGCCCCAGAGCTGTGCCATGCATGCTGCCCACCTGAGTTGCAGTCACCCTTCTGAGCCCCGCTGGGGTAGAACCTGTTTGCCCAAGGCAGGGAGAGCTTTCCGGCCTGCAGCTGCTGGTGTTTGTGTGCTCAGCCTCATTCTGCGAGAGCAGCTGCCCCTGGGTTCTGTGGTAAACCTTGGGGCAGAGGCCAGAGCACCAGGACAGCTGTGCTTCCGTGTCACTTTAACTGTCCCCTAAAGCATGAGACATTTTGAGATTTTCAGGTAAAGTATAAAATGGAAGCATTGACTGCAATTCATAAAAGATCCTGTTGTCCATGCATCAGGCTGACTTTGGGTCACCTCAGGCCCTGGGAACCGGAAGATGTTAGGCAGATTCTCCTTTGGGAACCAGCGCCTTCTACTAGAGCAGCTTCACATTTTGACCACATTTTTGCATTCACTGATAACCTTTTTAGGGAGGTGAGAAGCCTAATCCGGACAGCTAAGAAAACGATACTGCTCACCATTAGATTAACCAAATACTTTGTCCTCCCAGTCCCTCAAGTTAATAAATAAAAACAGAAAGAATCCTGTTTGGTGTTAGTTTGGGGCCACATGACTTTGTCTGTAAAACATGAAACTTTTCAAATGAAAAAGGCATGTCTCTGCCCTAAAACTTTGTTTATAGGGAGGATTTGATGACCCAGAGTGTGTGTTAGAATAGGAGACGGCCTGCCCTGTGAGGGGAGCTCAAAGACAAGCCATGGATCCAGTAGACCAGGAGGGGTGCTCCGGGAGAAGAAAGTACTTTGGCTGGAAGACGAGATAAATTTAAGTGATTGGGAGTCATTGCTTCTGTTCCTTTAGCTATCAGTTGTTTAGTTAATCGCTGCAGGTTTCCTTTGCTTCACGTTCCAGCTAGTACTGAACAGGGGCCACTGGAACTCCCAAAGGCGTTTAGAACCCTGGAGATAAACTTTAAAGGATAAACTACAGGCAGCATTGTTCATCACCATTTTGATGTGCTTCCCAACAGCCAGGCCAGTTGAAGGTTCAATTATTGAGTCAGAGAACTTATATTCAGGCTCTGGCACAGTCTACGGCAAAATCACCTACCACCTGTGGAGGTTATCTGTGGGCTGTCTTCCAGAAAACATCTCAGCAATATAATGAAGTCACTCTTGAGGTGACTTCAGGTATTTAGATCAAAATCTGAAGTCTCTGGAGAGGGGAGCAAGGAAAAAGAGTCTGGGGTGGGGGATGTGGAAACCAGAAGCCTGACTTCCAGTGTTGCCCGAGGCTGTGCTTGCCACTGTAGGGTGAGACGAGTGTTTCAGCTCACCCCCGGGAGATCTTTTTGCCTGCAGCTTACCTCTGTCTTTCTGAGCACCAAGTGCTGAATTGAGATATTGACCCCAGGCAGCAAGAGATGCAGTAGCTTCTCTCACCTTGTTTTCTCATTGAAAACAGAGTTTTCAGAGTTAAACATTGATCTTTAACTTCTATTTGTTGTGGGGAAAGTATGTTACTAATAAATGATCCAAAGAAGTTATAGTTGGTGGCTCAGCTCCCGCAGGTCTGACTTCTGGCAGGAGAAGGAAAGGTCAGTCATCAAGACGCTGGCACCAGAACAGATAGGTCCGCTCCCTGCTCCACCCTGAGCCTCACGAGGGACAGTTCTGCAGTGAGGGCTTGGAGCGCTTCCAGTGCCCTGAGGTGAAGGGGGGCTCATGGGGCCTTTGCTCAGCAAGCAGGAGTCTAGTGTTTCTTCTGAGAAATGAAGGCGTTCTCGAGAGAACAGCAGCAGGACAGCGCACACACACCTGCCCTTTGGCCCCTTCCCACATGGCTGAGAGTTCTGTTTGCTCAGAATCCAAGGGCATGCTCCCCTCTAAACTCTAATTTGCTGCAGCTGTTTCATGCGGCCCCTGAGCTCCAGTCATGGATGGCACAGACGTGTTGCATGAGCAAGTCAACGAGTCCAGGGCCCACCGTGTAATGTCATAGTAGTTAGAAAAATAATTGGTCCACTCTGTTGTTAAAAAAAAAAAAAAAGGATACAGTATGTGGTGCAGTTTTATAAATGTTGGGTCGGTTTTTGTTTTTTCATTGTCTGAAAACCTTCAAACCAATTGATAAGCAAAGAAAAGTTTGGTGTGTAGAACAAGTAAAATTGTAGGCATGCACCTCTCTTAAAGAAGCTACCGGTTTGCCATGTCCTTGAGGAGGAAAGAGCACTTGAGGCTGTTGGGAGCTACTGTAAAAGTAAAGCAAGTGCTTCTGGCCTCTATGATAAACCCAAGTGTATCAGAAAGAGGAAGTAGAAACCCGCTGGCATCATTTTCAGACTCGCTCTTGCCAGCCCAGCCTGGCTTCCAGGGACTTCGTCTCCCATCCTGTCCAGTGATTTTGCTAGAGACAGCAAGGCCTCAGCTCTGTGTCTCTGCTCTGCAGGGTGTGGTCTCCGGACAGCGTGTGTTCTACTTAACGGGGTTTTCTCTCTGTGGTCACCTCCGCTCCACCCACCTGCCAGAAAGATTAAAATCCCCAGGACCATTCCAGTTCTAAAGCAGATGGACTAGATGTGCTTCCTCCCCTGCCACAGGTGTTCATCCAAATGCAGGCTCCCTTTGGTCAAGTTCAACAGGTATTTCTAGGGAACTCCTTTGATTGAGGCAGGTAGCCAGGAGGTATGGAGATTACCTTTTTCCAGAGCACGTGTGTCTGTCACCTCCATACATTTTAGCCAGGGCTTAACATTTTAGCCAGGGCTTAACCTCACCGTGTCTAATTGTGTCTCAGAACTGAGACAGAGCCGGTGGCCTGCTCCCTGGGGATTACACACCAGAACTCTGTTAGTGTCTGTCCCTTTCCATCAGGACCACCCAGAAACGCAAATAGCCTTCCCATCGTTCTGCAGCGTGAGTGTGTCAGCGGTTTGGGCAAGGTGCTGCACATTTGTAGAGAACTCTCCAAGGACAGAAAATAGAACCACTGGGCCGAAAACACATCCTTGGGGAGGTTGGCAGAAGTGCGCGACAAAGCTGGAATCCAAGGAATAGCACTGGTACGGAAGGAGGGTCATGGGCCTGGTAACCTCTTGGGACCCGGTGCTGGGTTATGGAAAGGGAGTCTGGAGTCACACCGCCCTTTACCCCGGCCCAGATGCACGCTGGCACTTAGGAGCTTGAACCCATGGGCGCATGGGCTTGTTTTACCCTTTCTGTGTTTCCTAAACCACCCTACTTGCTATTTCCTGGAAGATCAAGCCCTCCCTCCCCACATGGGGCCGCCTGCCTGGCTTCTTCCTCAGTGACCATGCACACGTTCTCATGGGAGCTGAGGGGAGTGGACTGTGGTCCGGAGAAGGTGGCAGCAAACTGGTCCCTGCATCCTCTTCTCAGGAGGGTGTGCTTAGGCTGCCTTCACAGTGCTTTCCCGTGGACACGGTTAGGTTGTGAAGGAGTACGGGAAAGAAGGGGGGTGGGCTGAGCCCTAGGCTTGGGTTTGAGACAGGTGCACAGCCGATAGGCGCCCCCCCCCACCCCGCCCGGAATAGGCCAGCATGCATGACCATTCCTCCTCTGCTACAGCGCCTCTCGCATGCTGGCAGCAACAGAAGGCAGACAGGCCCCTCCCTGTAGTCTAGGCAGAGCTTGGGTACTGCCCCGAAAGTTCCACCACCCCTGCGCCCACTCCTCTTTGTAAAAAGAAATGCTTAAACCTGTGACCGTGCTATTCCTTTCTATGTGTTAATCAGTTTCCTTCCATTTGAGCTGTGTGGGAGGGAAGGGCATTGGAATTGTAGGTTGTAATCTTGTGCCAACCAATAAAAACCAGTATTTCACACACACCCCTGCCTAGTGTCCAGTCTCTTCTTTCTAGAAGTTTTCCTTGGGTCCTTCACATCAGTTTTCTTTTGATTTTACCCCCCCTTTCTCTTGGGCTGACTCTGCTCAGAGGTCATAGGCGGCCCTGTAGAAGATCTGCTCCAGGGAATTCAAGTAAGGAAAGAAGTGGAGAAGTGGCAGTGAAGGCTGCAAGGTGCAGGGGGAGACCCCTGGGCCGAATGAGGGTGCAGTGCAGAGGAGAGCCCCTCCCCCGGCCAGGGGGTGTGAAAGGGCAGTGAGGGGGATACACCCAGTCAACCAGGGAGCTCAGCCAGAAGTTGCTACGGAGTGGGACCAGGGGTGGCAGTGGGGAGGCTTGGGCTGGAGCGGGGTGTGGAAGATACGCAGGACTTGCAGGCACAGAACAGACAGGGAGACTGGGGCTGTCACATTAAGTGTCTCTCGGGCCTGCGGGCAAATGCAAACCATTTTAACTGTAATGAAAAAACACTGGAAAATACACAGTGAGGCCCGGTACTTCGGCACCATGCATATGAAGCATCACATACTGTCAGCCACGTTTGAGTGGGAGGAAGCAATGAAGGGTGGGGCGGAGCAGGCTGCGTAGACTCGGGAGTGGCCCTGGGCTCGAAGAGCGGGATATAGCAGTGAGGACACAGAGCCTAGCACGGATAAACATGTCCGTCTGCTGCGGCAGGGGGGCCTCTCTGGGGCTCCGGTGGCATCAGCACTGGCCGAGGTTTGTAACCCAAGAAGAGCGGTATGGCCGGTGGTCAGAAAGTCACTCGTGGGACGAGACTCAAGCGACCTAACTCAGACTGACGTGTGTACCTGGATAGCTGCTGGCTTGCTCACGTGATGCCAAGGGTCAGACCCAGTCACCTGTTGGAGTCTGAGTGGGTAACCAATGTAGAAAGTTGGTCACGGAACAGTTAGCAGCCTGATGACTTCATTCTCCCACAGACCAATTCCCTATCAGCTGGTCTGGGCTCCCTTCCCCCTCTCGCCCGGCAATTCTGATGCTGCAGGCCCCCCTCTTCCATCCTGTGATGATCACCCTTCTTGTTCTATCAAAGGATTCTTTGTTTTGCCAGATTTAATGTGCTTAATGAGGTCATGGGCCCTGATGCAAGTGATGTGTTCAGGAAACCAAATGACCACCTCTCACTGGGATGGGGGTTCTGGAAACCACCCTTGCCCAGAGCACCGAGGGCGGGGTCCAGGTAGCTGTCGCCATAGCATTTACCACATACTGAGCTTCCTTCTCTGAGGGTAAAAATCTTGCCGCAACCCAATTTCCCAGTAGCCTGCGCTATTTGTGGCTGGAGTGAGAAATCTAAAGAGGTCCCCGAAATCTTGAGAAAGGATGATGCAAAAAAACTGGGCCAAACACTGACACAGCTCTGACCTGCCGGAGCCTGCAGTGAGGCTGGTGCTCTGTGCCTCGGGCTTCCTTGCTAGGAGGTGGCGACTCCGACCTCCCAGCCAGTTGAGTTGGTAGAACCCCTGCTCACCCCCCGCTCAGGCCGCCTCCCATCCTCCTGGAGACCTGATCATTGTGCCCAAGGAGGCCTCGTGTTAAAAAGCCATGGACTTCTTTGCTCTCTGGGCTCACCCACACTTGGCATGTGAAAGGCTTATTTGTGACACCCAGCTAACATCTCAGCATCTGAGGACACAGCCGTGAGGCTCCATGTTCCATGTCCTGAATACCAGCAATGTGCTAACTCCAGGACATGCAGTCCTCACAGAGGCACCTGCTTGGGTGACAGATGGCATGAAATGGGAGAGATGGCAGCCTGGGAGGTAAGGTGTGGAGGGGTGGGGTGAGAAGGGGCGAGGGCGGGCAGGCGGTGGGGAGGGACGATGGGAGTCAGCAAAGGGAGGAAGGACAGTTACTCGGCCAGGGGCTGGCTGTTAGGGCAGAAGGTCTGAGCAATGGAACTAGACCAGGGTTCAGGGCTCAGCTGGGCTCCTGACGGGCGCTGCCATGTTGGACAAGTGTCAGCCCTGCTCTGCCCCATCAGCGGGGTGAAGCCTACTTTGCAAGATGGTTGTGTCAAGGGAAGGAGTGCATGTTTCAGCGTCGCTTTGTGCTAATTTAATGGGTACACACCTGTCGGGAAGTGCCAAGGACTGTGCCAAAGTCACTCAGAGAAACAAGTCCCGACAGACACAGGTAACCACGATGCAAGGCGACAGATGCAGTCAAAGAAGGTTGAGGGAGTAACTAAGCCCTTCCCAGTGCGGCTCCCTTCAAGGCACTCGTAGGCCATGAAGGAATTCTCGGCTGTGGGGACAGCATGTGCCAGGGCAGGCCCTGGGCTCGGGCAACAGCAGGTTGGCCGGGGCTGGAACATGATAGCAATAGTGGGGGCAGTGGCGGGGACGAGCGGGAGGCACCTCAGGAAAGGTCAGCTGGGGTCAGGTGACTTGGCAGGCCGTGTGAACTTTACTCCAAATGACTGGAAAGCCAACAAAGGTTTTAAAACAGAGCAGTGACTGTATGGGGTTGGGCATTTGGGGAGGATGATATTACTGTCTCCTGAGAGCGCCTGTGTTCCAGGCCTTCATGCTAGGCAGCGAGTTCACTGCTTTATATTTATTCTTTTTGGTCCCGTGATGTGTAGGGCCAGTGATCGGCACCCACTCTGTGGTCAAGAAAAATGGAAGCACAGGGAAGTGAACTACCTTTTAGGGGACTTGAACAAACTAATTGTAAAAATCATAGGGACAAGGGCCCTCCCTGGTGGCGCAGCGGGTTAAAGCACAGCACTGAGAAGCTAAAGCCACTTCTGCATGAGTTCGATCCCCGCCTGCCCCGGAGGTGACCACATGGCGCGGCAGACCTCTCCTGACCCGCCCGCTGCTCCCCTCAGCAGTGTACTTTGTCAGTCTGCCTGTTCTGCTCCCCACTCTGTCTCTGGTGAAGCCTCTCACCCTCCACATCTCTGGCCTGTGCCCCAATTCTGTACGAATAAATAAATCTTTAAAAAAAAAAATCATAGGGACAAGGACCCAGAACGTCGAAGATGGCTTTTGAAACACTACAAGGGAAAGCCCAGGAGCAAAGACTACAAGGGGAGTCCTGTGTGCTAGACACTTAATAAAAAGATACGGTAACTACAATGACATGAGGAATGAGGAATAGGGAAGCAGGTAAACGGGATAGCTATAGGGGCTGCCGGGATCCAGTCCCAGGGTGGAGGAGAGGCTTCCCCACATCAACAAGCAGTTCTCAGACCCTGGCCTGGTGTCTGCTGAGCTCATTTCCGACACCACCTCCCTGGGCAATAGCAGCAGTTCCAGGCTAAAGGCTCCCCAAGACTGCCCTCCACGTCAGATGCCAGCCCCAGCCCAGGCTGCCACACAGGCTTCTGCCCAGCCAGCTAAAGATAGGAGGTTCCCAAGACCCGCCTCCGGCTGTGAGTGCCAGCAGCAACCCAGGTGGTCGCCTGTGCTCCTGGTCAGCTGGTTAGAAGCCACAAGTCCTCGGGTTCAATTAATTTGCTAGAACCGTTCGCAAAACTAAAGGAAACTTGTTTATTCTCCATATTACCAACTGATTATGAAGAATATTATCCAGGGATAGTGAGACAGAGGTCATGCACAGAGCAGGGTATGGGGAAAGCACAGACACACCGTTCCCCGCAGACCCTCACGTTCACCAGTGAGGAAGCTTTCCGAAACCCCTCCTTTGGGGCCTTCAGTACGCAGGCACGCTTGACTAAGTCATTTGGCTGTTGACATCTCTAGCTTCTCTCCCTTTAGAAAATCAGGAGGCCAGACTGAAAGTCTCACCCTCACCCTCTGTTTCTGTTGGTTTCCCTGACACAACACCCATCTGCAGGTGTTTTCCCAAAGTTACTTCAATTAATATAATAGCAAACACTTTTATCACGCTCACAGGAAATCCTGAAACCTTTGGGAACTGTGGGTAGGAACTGTGGGTGAAGACCAGGTATACTTAAGAAGTTAAGATAGATAACCCCTGGTGACCTCGGGTTAAAGCTCAGCATGATTACCACGATGGCCCCCCACAACTGCCTGAGTTCAATCCCTGGCAGGGAGCTGACCCACATGGCCCAGCAGACTTCTCATTTTTCCCGCTGCTCTCCTCAATAGAGTATTTCAGTAGATCCGACTGTTCCACTCCCCACTCTGTCTCTAGTGAATCCTCTCACCCCTCACACCTCTGGCCTGCACCCCTGTTCTGTGCATAAATGAATGAATGAATGAATGATTCTATATTTATTTATTTATTTATTTTTAAAGATTTATTTATTTATTTGTGCATACAGAACTGGGGTACAGGCCAGAGGCTCAGGGGTGGTGAGAGGCTTCACCAGAGACAGAGTGGGGAGCAGAACAGGGAGATCGACGAAGTACACTGCTGAGGGAAGCAGCGGGTGGGTCAGGAGAGGTCTGGCTCGCCATGTGGTCTCCTCCGGGGCAGGCGGCAGGCGGGAATCGAACTCATGCGAAAGTGGCTTCAGATTCTCAGTGCTGTGCTTTAACCCGCTGCGCCACCAGGGAGGGCCTGATTCTATATTTAAAAAAAAAGAAATTAGGGTAGATAGACATGGGCCCTCCCTGGTGGTACAACGAGTTAAAGCACAGCACTAGGAAGCTATCTGAAGCTGCAGTAGCCTGAGTTCGCTCCCAGCCAGGGAGCTGACCCACATGGCACTGCAGACCTCTCCTGACCCGTCTACCGCTCCCCTCAGCCGTATATTTCAGTCCATCTGCCTGTTCTGTTCCCCATTCTGTCTCTGGTGAATCCTCTCCCCATAGCACCTCTGGCTTAGACCCAGTTCTTGTATGCATAAGTAAATAAATCTTTTTTGAAAAGATAGACATATATCTATAGATAACCTAGATAGACAGATGTAGATATCCCATAATATTGTCACAAGGGGCCAAGAAAGACACGTGCATGTGTCAGAATGTGGTAAGATGGTGAGAGTCAGCGGAACTGTGCCTCTGGATGGAAGAAAGAGGG